GATATCTATGCAAAGTCGTAAAGAACCTCAGCTTCAGGCTTTAGATTTTATATAATGATTATCACAACCCACCTAATGGAATGTCTTAAGTATGGTGCCCCATTTTGTAAAAATAGTTAAAAACAAAGTTTAGAATTTTCCTAGGTGAGGATACAAAGCACACATTAACAATTGCCGTCACCTTAAATATAATGGACTGAAGCACGTGTGTGTGGGCGCGGCGCGCGCGCGACATGCATGCTAAGGAATATGTCTCAGTGTCCCTTGATCTCTCAGCATACTTCACTTTGAGTTAATCAAAAATTTCAATCTGTTACTACTTAAAATCTGTCCATCATTTATCATAAATATAGCTTGCTGAAAAATCACAGATGTGACTCAGAGTATCTTAAAATTAATAACTCATGAAAATATATCAGCTAAACTGACTATTCTAACTAGAAATCTTCGCTAACGCAAGGAAGCAATGACTGTGTGAACATCTGATTTCCAAAACAGCAGTTGTGTCCATATCCAATAATATTTTCATAGTTTCAAGATTTAGTTAGTGACAAAGTGTTGTAATAGCTTCTTTTTAAGAAGTATAGAGCTTAATTCCAGAGGAATCTAGGAGCAGAATTACAAAGTTAAGAAGCAAGAACACAGAAAATCACGTCTAACACGTATCAAAAGCGTAAAAATGGCAAAGTAATTCGCCAAAGACTCATATAATTTATTTAAGTTGGATAATAATCCTTAATTTTTAGGTACATTACAAACTGTAAAGATTTTTAAATTTTTAAACTTTTATTTTTAATAAAAAATTGTTTTGAAAGGAAAACACGTGAAAAAGAAAAGCTGTAGGAAAAAGATCTGGCTGTCTGTGTGCCCTGCTGATCAGGTCAGTGCTCTATATCACAAGGCATGAGAGATACACATGATGTACATTATAATATATTTTAGCTAGTTAAAAGAACATAAATATGAATTTATTCAACGTTACACTCTCCAAGCTAACAACTGATAGTCTGACTTGTTTAAATCAGTTTCATTGCTAAAGTTAAATGTTCGAGTTAAGATAGAAATGTGTCCAGTTGTTAAAGAACACTGAAAATATTTGATGGGTTAATAAGACTTGCAGGGGGCGGGGGAGCTAACTCCATTGAAAGGCGGCTAAGATTTTATTCAAACAGAGCATAATTAATGCTTTATTGGAATAGAGCACAGAATTCAAGAAGCTCACTGTACTCCGAGATACTTTAAAGCAGCGCTAATCCAGATTACAGAACTTTCTAGTGCTTCAAAATTGCATGTGCTTTCAATTGTACGACACTGGTGGGTCCTCAAGTACGTGTAGTTGGCTGAGTAAGACATTTCTGTATCACAACTGTTTTTTTCAACAAATATTCATCTAGGGAGGCTCCGCCCCCACCCGGCCCAAGAACTGCGCACATGAGAAGACTGTGGGTAATAGTTTTGTGGTTGGTAGTACTGTAGGCGTTGCTGGATGTTGAAGCAGAAAGTTAGGGGGTGACGCGTGAAGAGTAGCTCAGACGTGGGGGTAGTATATATAGTTAAAAAAGGAAAGAGGTAAGTGTTCATAGAAAAAAAATCCAATGGACTAGTGATATTTTATTTTTGCAGGTGTGCTCATGATGTAGGATGATGCACCCGTGGCAGTACTCTGGGTAAAGATTGAGGTGGCAAGAAACGGTGCAACTTCCACTAAAGATAGATAAAATTCTGCCTCTCCCCACCCACCCCCAAAAAATCATAAAACTCCCATAATAAAGAGAACAATGAACTCCAATACTTGATATTTTCTAAATAATAAAATATTCTAACTGTCTACAGTATGTGAAAATTCTTCATCAAAACTGAGATGTTTAATATTTTAAAACAAATCTTTAAAAGAAGTCTGACATAATGAAATTACACACTTTAATATAATCTCTTGCCATTTCAAAAAGATTATGAAATTCACTGGATATATATTTTGATTCATGTGTTACAATTCAAAAAATAACAGGGAAATTCTATACCTTATTAAAAGGGAGTTTCCTTACATTTTTAACCACATTCAACCACAAGCTTTTGTCCATTTAACAGCACATACACATGAAGCAGACCATACATTCCCATACAACTGTTTTAAGACCCGTATAGCAATTGAGATTAAGTACTCTTTTATTATATTGTATACAATATCTTCACTTTATGTAGAATTCTTAGGAATTTCCTCCCCTTTATGCTATTTATTAAGGGCACAGGACTCAAGATTTGGAACATTGTTGAGTGGAAGTAAGCAACATGTTATCAAACACTTTAGGCTTTGTTGTTACTGCTGAATAGAGAGAAGCCTAACTAAAGCAAAGTTTTTCGTAAAGACTAATA